GGTAGTGCTTTTTTTGTGGATAAAGTTATCGACTTTGTTCTTAGGCTGATGACAGAACCATGGGGGCATAAGAAGTCCATGACAAGGATGACATCTCTCGAGAAACGCTGTAGGACTACGAATTTTGCAGGATAAATACGGCCATTAATGGTGACTCTCACTGTGCAGATTCCTGCTGGCGTTACTACATGACTGCCCGCGACAATCTGCTGTGCGGAGTTCGGGGCCTTCCCAAGCTGTCCTAACTTTCTTCAACTTCGCGGTGAACGACCCACAAATGACGTAATATTCGGCTCCAGTATCGACGAAAGTGGTCACACTGTAGCCGTCGATAAGAACGTCGAGGTTGCTAGTTCGCCGTCTCACGTTGCAGTTATGTCGTGGCGTCGAGTCACGCCTTCGTCGGCTCGTTCCGCTGCTTCTATGTTGCGTCGTCAGGTCACCTTCGGTGAGTGATGTTTCGTCGTCGAGACTTTGCCTGGCTGGCGTGGTGTTCGGAAAGCTCCGTCGCGGTGTCGTCATCGTTGGAGGATCTTCAGTTGTTCGTCGCACAGCAACCGCACCTCCTTAGGTTGCTGCCCTTAGTTTCCCGGGTATGGGATAGAAGACCAGCCCCGCGTTGGGCCAGAGTACTGCCGGTGGTGCGGTGACATGCGGCGGCTGGGCGACGGCGAACGGGAAGGACTTCGTGGTGTCCACTGAGTTCCTGTCAGGTAGTCGGCGATGTCGCGTGGCCGTTCCCCTGGCTGCGGACGTGGTGCATTGACGGCGAAGCCACGCAGTCCCATCTGTTGGTACTGGCAACGGCGGTATGTGTCTCCGGCCTCGCCGCAGTGGTAGCAGAGCGGGCGGTGGTCAGGTGCACGTCCAACGCCAGTTTTTCTCGGCGCACTGCGCTGGCCCGCTGGGGAACGGTAGGACGTCGGTGGGGGTGGTGGCGGCGGTGGCGTCTGGCGACGGAAGTGCGACGGGGCGGCGTTTTGGCGTGGACGGGAACGAGCGTTGTGGCGCACTGCAGCGGCGTAGCTCATAGTTTCTGGCTCGGGCAGCGGTGTTTGGCGAATTCGAAGCGATTGCCGGACTTCTCGCACAATGTCGGCGATCGAATCCACTTGAGGCTGCGCCGTGGGCAACAGCTTGCGCAGCTCTTCCCGCACGATCGCTTGGATCGTTTCACGCAGATCTTCGGAGTCACCGGCTTGAGGAACAGCGCATTCTGGAGTCAAGTGACGATTACACTGTCTGGTGCGCATGCCCAGGGTCTTTTCGATAGTGGTCGCTACGGATACAAATTCTTGAACGGTGTTCGGTGGATTCCTCATTAGGTTCGCGAAGAGCTCCTGTTTGACCCCTCGCATGAGGAAACGAACTTTCTTCTCCTCAAGCATGGGTGTGTCAGCGTGACGGAATAGGCGGGTCATCTCTTCTGTGAAAATGGCAACATTTTCATTTGGCAGCTGAACCCAAGTCTCTAGTAAAGCAGCGGCCCTCTCTTTTCGAGCGACGCTCGCGAACGTTTGCAGGTGTGCGCCGCCGAAGACCTCCCACGTTTGAAACGCAGACTCCCGAATTTCGAGCCAGGTCGTCGCGGTGTGTTCCAGGTAGAAATACGCACGATGAAGCTTTTCGTCATTGTCCCAGTGGTTGAGGGCGGCCACACGTTCGTATGTCTCTAGCCAGGTCTCTGGGTCTTCGAAAGATACCCCACGGAAGGTTGGTGGTTCTCTGGGTTGATGCACGACGACCCCGGGCTGGTACGCTGCGGTTGTCATTGTCGCTGCAGTCGAGGTTATGGCCTTGGTCTTCCGCGCCTTGTCTTGAAGGGGCCCGTACTCCGGTGGTAGACCTTGATGTCAGTGGCTTGTTCTCTGCTCCTGGTTGGCGTCGGTGTCTTGTCCGTGACGTAGGGTGGGTTCACGGCTTGACGGGGGCGTCCGGTACATGAACGAAGCAGCACCTCCACCAGATGTCACGGGGTCGTCACGTGGGGCCGAAGACAGGAGACTTTATGTTGGGATTTAACTGTTTATTTGGGCGAACCTATGCCCGGTAAACAGAAAGTCCGATCACAGTAGCAGTCTTGCATAAATAGCAATGAGTGGAGCGTCGGCTGTCGATCAATTACTGACAAGCGGCGAAGTGCGTCGGCATTTATACTCTTGCCATCGAAAGTTCTAGCGTTATCGCTGGCGGTGACGAGTGTTCCAGAATAATCCGTACAGTTCGAGGAGTGGGCGTGATCTTAGCGAAATGATCGACTACAGTCCTGAAGCTTCTCGAAAACTTCAGGCGCGTATGCGCTGAGAATTGTGTAGTGTATTGGGGTGATAACAAAGCTTGCGGAATGGAACGTGGCATTATGGTGGTTTCGGGACGTTAAACCCCACATATCAATCAATCAGCATTTTCAGGTTGTTCGTAAGCAGTTGCCCGAACGTTCTCTGGTCGACGCACGTATCTGAGTGAGCAATTGGCCAGAAAATAGTTTGTGGGGCTTCATGAAACAGCTTGTATCCTGGAATACCTTCGGTGAACGCGTGGTCTCTACGGCCACTGAATATGCTGGTCAAGAGCGTATGTTTTGGCTAAACATTAATCGATGGAAAAATATTTAGCCAGAAGCAAGAAGACACGTAAGACACTCAAAAGCGAACAGGCGCATCTAAATTTTATTCTTCCGTGAGCTTTTTGGAACTCTTAGGCACTACACAACAAAAGCAAAATAACAATCTACTAAAGCACTTCTTCATAAAAACCTGTCATTCAAAAGCTATACTCATTTTGATAAAGAGCTACAGAATGAACGCTGACACAAAGGTTGTCAGCTTTCTGCATGTACATAGCCTCAGGCGATTCCCGTGCTACCTTGCCTTTGCTCTTCCGCATAAGTCATGCGTTGCCCAGCAGTGGTTCACGCGTACAAGCTTTGCATTTATGTGACAAACGAGGTCTTCTCGCATTTGTTATAGAGAGGGCATGCTCTGATTGTCAATTATTACTACGGCCGCCCTGGCCGATGTACATTCGACCACAGCTCAACAAAATCTTATAAAGAACACCGGTTGAGCATTTATTAAAAATCATTTTCTTCGTGTGTTCTTTTCCACACTGCGGATTCTAAGCAGCTGACACTCGAGCACAAATACAAGAGTGGTCTTTCGAAGCAGAAAACACTGCCGGTGCGTAACACCTAAAAGCCACATTTTTCAGAGAATGAGATAGCTTTGAAGTATATGGAATAAGGACGGGACGCTTATTCTCATCATTCACTGAAGATGCACAACTGACGTCCCACTAAACTTTTATTTCTAAAGCCTTGTACAAGGTTCCTAAAAGCAATGTAGAGAAACCCACGAAAACAAGCCTACATATGTGGTGTTCAAAGCTTTTTATTGCTATCACAAATATATGAACACTCTCAGCTAGATTTTGCCGCCGGCATCGGCGTCACTGTCAACAACCATATATGTATACGTATCTGCATTGCCTCGTTCGTTTATGAAGCTTTGTGATCGCTTCGTTACACTACGTTCAGCGCGAAGCGCGTCTACGATGTTTGAGAAGCTTCGAGGCTGTAGTAGATCATTTTGCTACAAGTACGCCCACTTCGTGAACATAACAGATTTTACTGGAATCTATGCTACCGCCAGCGATAACGCTAGAATATTTGATGGTGAGGGTATAAATGCTGACACGATGCACCGCTTGTCAGTTGATCGACGGCTCTGTTTGTCGCTATCAGTGCCAGTGGCCACAAGTTCGGCCAAATACAAAGAATATTCTTCAATGTACTGCCTGCTCCCTTTCGTCGAAGTCACTAACCCGTGAAAGTATGGAAACGCAAGAAAGAAAAATACTCCCAAAAAATACAACGGCGCATGGAATAGAACGTCTTACCGCTGAAGAGTGAGTGCGAGGCAATAGCCACTCGGCCACAAGGGAGCACCTCCTTCAACATCGAAACGGCCACCCATTTATGTCTGTCACTTACTGCTGGCTATGACCACCTAGAGGAAACTATCGTGTTTTTAGAAGTACCAGCGAGATGGCACCATTATCGCGCGTCAACAGATCGTCACGACGCGGCGGAGCTGCGCTCTCATCTCCCACGCGTACTTTTCCCCGCGAAAAGCCAGAGAGAGAGAGGGGGGGGGGGTCATGCGTGCGCTCGCTTATTTTGAGGTGGGGGCAATCTTACGCCTTGAGATTTCACCAGAATGATTCTGTTCTAGTTCCCGGCCGCACAACAATCACTGCGCTCGTTGCACAGTCTTCGTTTGCGAAAAGGGTGCGCTTTTCAGGCACAGTGAAGTAACGACTGAGACGCTTATTCGCGTTCATCTGTACCTGTGAGTACGTTTCGTGTGTCAGAAACGTGGGGTGCGTTTTGATATGCTTGCCATTCTTCGCGTTACCTTTGAATTTGTTGCTATCGCGTTCATTTCGTCACCTTTGCGGCAAAGCTGCGACTTTTTACCCGCATGTGAGCAGGACCTGCTTAAAGCCATCTGCAAACTAGCAGTTGCTATCGGTCTCTTTACATTCTTCGAATTGGCGGTATGAAATGGCGAAAAATCTTTGTGCACACGAGGGTGATACAATCAACAGACATTCTCTTCGTTTACCCTGAAAAGAATATATAAAAATACAAGTTTGTCACTAGTGGGCAAATCATGAGTAAACCTGAGTCCTTGTCCTTGCACCTTAAAAAACGTAGGACTTCAGCCACACAATCAGAATAAGCGCAATTTCTTTGTTTTATCAAAACAATTGAGAAATCATCAACAAAACCAAACAACTTCAAAACCTTGTCATTTAGCAGAGTGCTTGCTAGGCGATGAATAATGTTTGAAAGAAAAACGTAGCACAGCAGAGATGCGACACATGATCTTATACGGATGCCTTTCTCCTGCAAAAAAGAGTTGATCATTTAATAAGATTAACGTTGCGTCAATGTAACATTGCAACAGTGCTAAGCGCAACGCCGTTTCTTTTTTTAGGTTAACTGCGCTGGCTCAGCGAGAATCGGCTTCGTCGGCAAAATTTCGCTCGAGGACTTTGACGATGAAATTAACATAAATCTGCGGGCCGTCTTGCACATAACTCAGGATGTTTTGCCACATCTCATGAAGACAAAAGGTTTGTGTTCTAATTTTCAGCTGAACATTTGTGAAATGTTTTTTATAGTAGGTTATACGCTGAGAATAAACGTAATTGTGATTCCTTGGACTGCCGAAATTGATGTGCTATGAGTCAGTCAGCGAGGAGCTGCATACAGTGCATTGTTTTGGTTTGTGGCAAATTAGGGCAATAATAATCATGTCATGACATGCCTTTAAATTCGCACAGTTGTCATACGTGCGCGAATGTGCAACCGGGCTTATATAATAGTTATGAAACGAATGTACCATGCTGCTAGGTAAAGGTAAACCAGCAATGTACGCTCAAATTTTCCTGCTCGTGCCCTCTCGCCATCCTCATCTGCCATCCTGGTGTCATTTGTCCCATGAGGTTGCGTAAAGAGCCCCAGGCATTGTCAAGTCGGCCAACGATGGTCTGTTTACCTGCTAACAGCTGCGCGTGCCGTGCTCTTTCTCCTCGCCCTGAAAAGAAGAATACTCGCAGAGGTACAGGCAAGAGAAAGTAAATGGAGCGTAGCGAATAGGGAAACGCGTAAGGACCACGTTTCAATTACCAAACGTAACTCCTGTAGTGTTGGCTGTAGACAGGTGCACAAGTGCAACGCCACCACTAAATATGAACTTCTGGGTCGTTTTGGGGCTGCTTAGAAACTTCTTCCCCGGCCATGCCTGCTCAGTTTCGACATTAGATAGCGATCTTTCTGGGCTTTCTGTGCGTACCACTCAACTTAAGTGACAGGCTGAATCCAGTCCAGTAGATACACTTACAGTAGGCTGTGAAATTTAATCAATAAGGCAGAATTGTCTGCTGCAAAAATACTGGAAAGGAAGGCCAGGTCAGTACATTATGGAAAAGCAAAAGAGGCGATTGTTAGCAACTTGATGGACCTCAATGTCACCTTGGATAGCGTTCAAGAAGTACAAAGGGGGAAGCACTTAGGTATGTAGAGCGGCGTTTTGTTGTGGGACGCAGCACGCGCGGGATCTGAAAAGCGCAAAGTGAGGTCCCGTGTTCCGCGAAGAGGGACGCGCAAGACCCGCGCGTGGGAAAGAAAGGTGGCTAAATTGTTCACATGGTTTACGAGAGAGCCGTCAAAGCTGCCCCTTCCTACCCCTGTTTGGGACAAAGTGAAGGGCTGACCAGAAAGCGGGTCTCGCGAGAACCAGGTGACGTGCCGTAGTCTGGTTTCAAGATGATTGCTCGGCATTCCCGAGGACAGTTTGAGAATGCCGTAAGGACGTCGAAGTAGCTTTCAACCGCTGGGCTGACAGAAACACAGTCGCGGTATGTATTCACCCTTTGTTCACAATCGGCTTTCCGGGCATGCAGACCAGCGCACCCCTGTCATAGGAAATTACCGAATGTTCTTGTGATGGTGTGACGTCTCGCTGTGGCATTCATAGATCCTCAGTCGTCAAGTCCTGAGAACATTCTCCCCACTGTCAAGGCACTTTCTATACGAATCGGCGTTAAGTGCGCGAGCTGGTGGAGCCTGGCAGCGGCTTCCGGCGGACGTCAAGGCCAATTATCGAAATAATAAGGGAGAGAGTATGACGCCCCGTGTTGCGCAGAGAACCTATCCGCCCTCGTGTTTTATTCTGGAACGTATCTATACCAATGCAGTGTCTGTTATGAAAGTGTTCCTTCACTAAGTTGTGGTGATGCGAGCCCCCACGCGTGACTTGCTGTGTAGAGACCCTCTATTAGACCTCAGGCTGAAAATAGGCTGTTTGGATTTGAGATAAGAGCGAAGATTCGGGCTCGGACCCGGTCAGACACCTAAGTGCTGCAATAAAGTGTATATTCACTAGAGAACGGCCCTTCCTTCTCGCTGCCACCGAACGCTCGAGTCATCGAGGGGCACTCATTCCGAACCTCAAACATTGTCTCTCCTTAGCTAGTGTTGAGGCTGGTTCAAGAAGAAGCAGGAAAGACTGTAAATTACCTCAAGCCATCAATTGTGGGATAACGCTTAACTTCTATAAACCACTGCATCTATGGTCTTTGAAAGGACCCTGCAGCATTTTTCGAGCATGGTCAGAAAACGCTGCTGATCAGTGGTAAAGGCTCGCGACACGTGAGCCAGTTATAATAGCGCAGTACGAGGCCTAACCTTCACAGTAAATTATCAAAATCAGCTAAAATTGCTTTTTCTCTCGAAAAATTGCGAAAGACACTCAAAGATCACTCGTTGAAAGCTCATATATCAGCCATTGGCTGATTTGCACATTTCGCGCTCAGTCGTTAGAAAGATCGCCACGGGAGGCCGCGACTTGTCTACGCTTCCGCGCGCTATAAACACTTACAAAGCTGCGCATTAAAAAAAGTGTTCAAGGTGAAGAGGCGCGGGTGACGTATTTGATTTGTCTTGCAGTCCCTCCCTGCTTAGCTTCCTGCGCTTTCGTCGGGACGAGAAAAGAGAGAACGTGATTGCAGCGTGCGACAAATCTTTGCAGCTCCGCTCGTACTGGATGGATTCTTAAAATTGTTGCGGCGTTGAATTCCCGAGGCAATAAGCAAATTTAGTGATTCCTTTCGACGGTTACTTGAAAACAGTGTTTCAGGCCCCCTTTAAGAGACCATGTCACAGTTAGCTTGCGCTCGCTAAAATAGGCGCACAAGAATTAGGCATCAACAAACATTTAAACTGTGAAATCTTCATCTGCCTCTTCAATTGCGAAGAGTGTCCACAAGTGTCCACACGATTGATCGGCAATGCAAAAGCAATAAAGCAAAAGGCATACCTCGTCCCTTCAGCCTTCATACAAGACATATAACGTACACCAAGGCTCTACAGCGTAACAGGCCCGTTGCTATGAATTTTTTTAGAATCATTTGCTGAAGGCGTTGACTATTTCAGAGAAAACACCTATTTTTCTTACCTTTTTTTGGTAAAACACTCTCTTGGACTAAAACATTTCGCGTGAAAGAGACTGACGTAAGGTTCTCTTTCCCCCCCTTCTCCAGGTCTAAGAACCTGAAAAGTGAAATAACAAGTGATTAAAAGCAACTAGGAAGCAATTTTAAGTAATAAGAAATAGGAAAAGTGATTATGACAAATTAAAACACCACCTAAAAAGATTCAAGATAAGGTAATCAAGTTGTGCGCCTCTAAACAATCGCCGCTGTGCCGCCGCTCTTCAGCTGATTACGTGGCGTGACCCCACGCCTGCCACATTTGTCTTCCGGCGACTCAAAGCTGTTAGACGCGATGAATATCCTTCGGAGGCCTGACATACTGAAACTTTCCCTCTTGTATAAGTCCAGCCAACGAAAACACGGCTGCTGTTCCTTACAGAAGAGAGGTCGTACGAGCCAGATTTAGTTTGTAGTATTTTTGCTTGCCTGATGTGGATGTTAGACACACTGAACAGAAAATACTTTCTGTCTATAATACAAGATTATGCTTGGCTGAATAATATCAAAAATTCTGGTAAACTCCTCTTGACGTTCAAGCCGGTGCGTACCAGCTACACACACAAACCTGTACTTGAAATATAGAATTAACCACGTCTTTATTAAAATCACTGATTATGAATAACGATAATAAAAAGTCACAATTTCACTGCAAGGTCAAAGCAATGAATGCGATCGTCACGTGAAAAACGGCAAGCACATTGTCAATCTCATATCCAATACGTCTCCTTGATGTCGCCACTTGTCCGCAATCATCGACAATTAGGTTGCGTCTAACAGCAGGAATGAACTTTCAATCAATCCACCCTCTCTGGCTTCTCAAACACTGGAGTACTTGATGATCTGGTAAGACCTGAATTTTTCTTAAGCACACGTTCTCAGAGACTCTAGAATTTGCAAAATTGCACGAATACACGAATATCGACCTTTAAGCGTCCAATCCCCTGAAAGGATAAGTGTCAATATTGTTGGAATTTTTATCGCCATCACATGCTGCTTTTGCATTACCGGCCGCAAGCAACATTGTCCTCTATTCTTTGTGTGTCTGATGTATCATTGCAATGGCTCATGTCAAAGAGGATTTATATGAAAACGAATATTCATATGACATTGTATATTTGTCTCGCTGGTAAACAATTCTACACACCAACAGAAAAATATATTCGGCGTGCCGAACAATCGAACTGCAGAAATATTTGCAAATACATGATTAGAAAACATGGGAGTGGCTGTCAGTACTGCGTTGTTCATAAAACGTTAGCAACCTTTGCCGTTTGCACATTGAGTTTTGCTCATTTTGAACGTACACCTCTTCACATACAGAACGACGAAAGAGAACAACTTAAGCATTAAAAGAACAACTTAAAACGTAAGGTGCCTATTAGGTTTTGAATCAAGAGTGCAGAATGTTGAAATCGAAAGTTGGACGGCATTGCGTCTGGATGGAATAAAACATCATGAATGGATCAAATGCAACGACCAAGTAAAGACCTAAAAGACAACGAAGAAAGCCTTGCTCACAATTCTGAACAAAGTTTCCGTGTGCAAGACGCAATATTGTTTTCTTTAAGCTTAAATTTGGACGGTGTATTATGTTTCAGTCAACAGGGCAGCATGTAGAACTTATAAAGTGGTGATTGTGTGGCACGAAACAGTGAGAATTGGTACCACTATCAGTTTGTTTCGTTGACAAACGCTTATAAATATTGACGTGCCACCACTCTATTACGTTTTTATTGTTTTCGAACATTTTGCACAAGCTCACCTTCCTATTACTTTGAATCAGGTGTGTCGAAGAGCAGCTGGTTAGACTATTTGCTTTCATTACGCTACCAATTATGTGGACACTTTCTGTGTATTTTGCCATTACCGTCATGTTTCCTATTAATTCTCAGTTGATATGATCCCCACACGCATCGTACAATCTATCCGCGGGTAGCAGCATCAATGAAACGTGCCGTCCTCACTTCATCCGCTCTCCCATGCTCGCGGCACGGATAGAAATGTGTCGCTCCGTTTGACGGTCGTCCGCTCTCAATTGAGAGGATTGAGCGTCCAATTTGTCAACATTGGTCGGATTG